TGCTAGTGAAACACCTGGATTTACACTTTGAAGTAAACCAGCAATTCCAAACTTTTCCTTTAAGTAGATTATTACACTGATACCAGTATTCTTGTAGACCACAATGAATGCCAAAATCTCATAAGATTTTAAGTGAGAATGTCAAAATCTCATGACATCTCATAAGATTTTGGCCAATTTTAAAAAAATATATTTTTACTTTCATTTTTATTTGGTCCTATTTCATGAACTACTTACAGTATTGTTGAAGACCACCAGTGTTAACTGGAGCACAAAAATGGGAACCAGTGGATTATTTCAACCATGGATTATTTCAACAATAATTTCTTGAAAAACCCACATAGGCTTATACATAACTCTAAGTTGTAAATCCTTTTAGAAACCACAAAGTCTGGGTTCAAAATCGAACAACTACTTGTTGGCTAAGCATAATAAATAACAAATACATAAATAACAAATACATAAATAAACTTAGCCAGTTATTCATCAGCCTTTCTGTTTCCACCTCCACCATCATAGGCCTAGTTCATGGACAACATACAGATAGCTACCATCACAAGAGCACTTCCCAAGATTTTCTGTGCCCATACTCTCTTCTCAGCCTTCTGTTTTGGCAAGCAGAAACTTTGTACCTAATTTTATGTCAGCAGGCTACGACTCTACACAAAAGTCATAGTTGCAAAAGTTGAGGAGGGAGCAGTGAATACCTGTTTTGTTGCATATTATAGAAACAATCGTTATATTTGTGTTCTCTTTGACAGAGGCGTCGCCTCCATAGCAGACCGCAGCTGGCTGGGTTCTGGCTCCTTTTGGCTGAAAGTGACACCATTTGGCTTCAGAAGGCTCTTGAAGTGGATCAAAGAAGAATACAATAATCCACCTATTTATGTGACTGAGAACGGGATTTCCGAACGTACAGACAGAGGTTTGAATGATACCTGGCGCATACATTATTTAAAGAGTTACATCAACGAAGCATTAAAAGGTATGTGGTTTTCCTTGCATAAGCAATCCCCAATCCAAATAATCTTTCTACCTTATCTCTGTTTTCCTTGAAGAGTGAACATTTAACTCATTTTCCAATGAATGCAGGTAATGGAGAAAGAATCTTTGCTGGCATGGAGGCGGGTGTTGAGTGCAGAAGTGAGAAAATAAATCCTAACCCTGTTTTCATTTCTTCCAAATGAATCTCCAAAGATCTTCCACTTTCCAAGGGTTCAAAATCTGAGAAAACCTGTGTTTTAAATATAGGCAGAGATAGCCTGGTGATACATATGGTACAGAATTTCCATGTTGCTTTTGAAAACCTAACCTCTATTGCAGATTTTGTTATTCTGCAAACTGTTTAGTATTGGAACAAGCTACCTTAGCAGTTGCTGAACTCCTTTATTATTTTATTATTGAAATTTTGTGAGTGTGTGTGTGTGTGTGTGTGAAGAGAAACTCAAAGGTAAAAAAATTAACAAGAACAGAACGTTATTATTTGTAATGTTAACAGCATTAACAACAATTTAAAATGTATTAAGTTGAGGCTAAATAAGACTTTATCAGGAATGTTACAGTGGTTTTCCTGGAATGGGAGATAATTGAACTACCGTAGTTGACCATTTGAGGTTCCTTCCAGCTTGATGGTTTTGCTTTACTAGAAGAAGGAAGATGCTAAGGATCCTCTACCTCTAATATGTAATCAGTCCTTCCTTGATGAAAACATGAAAGAAGAAAAATGGCAAAAATCTACAGTATTCACTGTCATATGTTTGGCCATCCATACTAGAAATACAGAAAGTGCAGTGTTTAATGTATATCCTACTATCTTAAGAGCTGTTCTTTTCAATACACTTGCATTAAGGTGATTCATTCTGTATGCCTGGCTCTTGAATTTTCTTCTCTGCTTACTCCTTCAAGATGAAGTTTTGGAACTTCATAAGCAGCCCAGATGCGTATAGGGAGGCTGCAACCCAATTATTCAGGAGTCTGCACTGTGTAGGAATTATTTGGAACTAAACTTGTATAGAACTGCACTGTAAAATCTTTCCCATCCCTATTTTGTATATAACAGGAGTTGTATTTGATGGTGTTGACCTCCGAGGTTATACCGTTTGGAGCTTGATGGACAATTTTGAATGGGCAGTGGGCTTCTCTGAAAGGTTTGGGCTGTATTACACCAACTACACGGACCCCAATCTATCTAGAATTCCAAAGGAGTCTTCAAAGTATTACTCATCTATTATCCGCTGTAACGGCTTTCCAGATCCAGCCAATGGACCTCATTTGTGTCTGGAGCCACAGCCTGAAGGTAGATATATTACCAGCAGAAAGGAATCAGCTTTACACTAAGAAAATTTTAAAAATATTACTATTCTTATAACTGTAATAATTATGCCAGTCTGGACACATTTCTACACAGCAGAAAAAAAAGCATTGATAATTATGTTAATTAGTTATGATGTTGAGAGGGAGGGAGAGGGAGAGATTGTCCTTCCTTCCTTCCTCCCTCCCTCCCTCCCTGGGAGTTGCATTGCAATAGTCAGCTGGTACCAATATGAAAAATTGTCGTATCTGGTATTAAAAGGAAAAGCTTAATGGTTGATCCTCTAAAAATACCAAGGCAAATTAGTCTGCATCTATTTGTCTTTGGTTTTGGAGCATCCCCAAAAGGAGTACTCAGGAGAGTAGCCTAAGGGTTGAAGCTGGAACACAGGAAGCTCAAGTTTTACAACTGTATGAATCAAATCCAATGGGTCTTGTTCCCTATATGTGCCATTGGCAATATCAATCTTCTCAACTTGAGGTTGTTTTGAGGTCTGTTTGAAAAATACTAGAGCAATTTTTCACCAGCATATTTGGATGTACCCGTTTACAAATCTTACATATTTACCATTACTTTATCTTTGTAGGTACTAAACTACCAACTACAAACAATACCCTGCCACTTACAAGCCCAACAGGACTTTTAGATATCGAGAAGGTGCAATTTTTGGGACTGGAACTGACTTCATCGCAGGCTAAAATAGCTCTTTATATTCTGTTTGTCCTATGCTTGCTGGCTATGCTAGGTTTTGCTGGTTTCCTTTGTGCATATAAAAAGAAATCCAAAAATATCCGGAAACAAACAGCTTTTAAATAAAATGAAATCAGAACGAAGTTTTGCCTTATCATCTGAAGACTTTGAGCCATGCACATTTGAAGCTGTCTCTAAAGTGCATAGGTGCTATTTAAAGTACATTATCATGACATGCATCAATTAGCAGTACAATTCTGAGTTTTTGCACCTGAGATAGAATGGCTTATGCAATTTTGGGATGTTGTTTTGCTATGACTATGAACTTAAGACTAGCACACTCTCAGTGTAGTGGGAAACCTACTTGTGTGTGTGGGGAACACAAAGCAGAGACATGACAGGCTGTTTATCAGGATGATTTCAAGTTAACCCCAAATCCCATTATTAGACATTTTGGAGCATCAGTGAAAAGGTATTATCTAAGCTCTTTTCAGGAAAACAGGGTCAATTGTTCAGAATTTATTCCACAACAAATGAATGGAAGATATATCCTTGTTGTATGCAAATATAATAAAGAATATTACAGAAAAATAGTTAAGAATGACTTCACTACATTTGCCAAGTTTTGTCATTACTTCTGAGAAGCAAATAATTGTAGTAGGTACCAATTGGAGATCTTTTGGCTTGTCTGTTCATTTACTGTATTTAACCAACACTAAAGCAACATTCCCAATTCTACAGAAGGAATAGCTTCAAGTTAACACAACTCACAATGTCAGTGTTTGCTATGATGAGATACAGAATTATAGCCAGATAGGTGGTTAGTGAACTTTGCTTACCCTTCTATGTGGGGAAAGGGAAAGGGGTAGAATTGTATTGCTTTTTTGTGAACAGAAATCTGTCTACTCACAAAAATAACCAAACTCAATCCAATCTATGAAGTTTCCTTCACTCCAAACAGAGCATGGCTAGAGAAATTGTAGTCAACATACTATAGAAAACAATAGTTTTGTGCCTATGGATAGTGTTAATTCAGTCTTTGACTATGATAGCTCTACCTTTTCAATGGGGGTCCCAAAAGCACCTTTAGTTACTAGGGGTGGTTTGCCAGCTGTGGCCAGCGCTGCACACTGTTTATATGCCTTTCATTTTCTCTTGATTGTTCTACAGCAGTACATTGCATAAAAGAAAGTAATACATAACACATGACTTTGAAGGTACATTAGCACAAACTATTAATTGCTAGGGTTGAATAAAATAATCACATTTTATTACTTTTCAAGCTGCTGCACAAGTTAATGGGACACTTGAGTTAGACAAAAATGCTAGAACTTCTCCTTAAAGCCATAATGCCAAGTATTTAAGGACTTTAAAATCTCTCTCTTCTGAACTCCTGTGTATCACTGAAGTCAAATAAGAGGCAATCAGGAATGATATCGATCCTGCATCCAAAAAGAAGGCACCAGAGGAAAGCAGGATATCTATTTTTCATTTTAAGCCCCCCCTTTTTTCTGTGAAAGCTCAAAGCAATGGGGAGTGGGATGCTCTCATTTTATATCTGTACAAATTAAATTAAACTGTGAATCTGAGTAAGGTTTATCTGGTCAGTGCTGTCTTTTTACTTTTTTTGTTTTACTCTACCTTTCCCTTTGATTTTAATGTTTCTTGTCTCAACAAGACCTTTTAAAAAACTAATCTGGCCCTTTATTTCTGTTGTTATGTACACATAAATAGTTGAATCAGATACACCAATGTGATACTGTGTAATGGTAACGGCAGCAGACATGTTGAATCACCAGACCCAGTCCCCAAATAGGATCCATCCCCTTTCCAAATCCCCATCTATACAAGTCAAGGGGACAAGAAGTTGTAACATCCCAGTCTCTTTGTTATGGAATGGGGATCATTCCATGGCTCTCTTTATAAACAGTGTGACATTTCAAACAATTATCATGTTATGTGCTAAGTATTTGGAAAAAAAAACTTTATTGAATGCTGAGAGATAAAAACTATGAATATTGGGCTGTTGGTACAGAAGCATTGCAGGAAAAAAAAAAACCTTATCCAATTTATCAGGGTTTGCACTCCTCTAGGATTGGCTTGTTTTGTACTTGGAGCTGCCTATTTGCTCAAAGATTTATATAGGTAAAAAGTGTCTTTAGAGGACAATATAAGTAGTACATATGAAATTCTAAATGCTGATGGGACATGGATTTTTATATTCTTTGTTTTTGGTAGTAGTTACATTTGCAGAATCCAGCTACACAAGTGGGTTAGCATTTATTCCATGTGGTATGATGAGGAAAAAGATATAATCCAGGGAGAATACCCATCCAAGCCCACTTATGCAGCAGAGTGTTTTAACTGAAGCTAAATCAAATAGGAAAAAAAAAATCAGTGATTACTATGTACAATTTACTCAAGCTACATTTGTTGGGTCGAATTTCCATTCCAAGTATTATTATCATCTTCTCCATCATCCTGAGTTCTCAATCGGTAGATTTTGCCTTCTTTCTTGAATTCTTCACCCCGTTTTTCCGACATTCGTTTCCTAACTGCTTGTCTGAATAAGGAAGAAATGGAGATTGAGTACAAATTCCTATAGTGGCAGGGTTCATACCAATATTAACTCTTGACCTAATTTTTGTCTTCTTCATTCCAAAATTAATGAAGGTTCTATGAGAACTGGTCAATTTGATTTGATCATAAAGGCATAGATTCATGTCATAATGTATGGTGGACTGCTGACTTTACTTCTTTTCAAAGCACAGTTAAATGGATTCAAATGAACAATTAGAACATGGAAATTACTTCACAGTAGCTATTTGCAAATGCCCTAACATGCTATTGTTTTCACCATAGGCCATTTCCTGAGAATGGCTTAACCTTACCAGAAAAGATAGTCTCAACAAGCATGCGACAAATTAGGACTCTCTTATCTCCAACTGTTTTGGCCCATCCTGTGAGATCAGGTAGCGCAGGCATACCTCAGTGCCTCATATAAAGTGATGCCACCTAGTGGGACCTAGGAGACATGACTTCTTTGTTGCAGCACATGCCCTTTCCAACAGCATATTCCTGAGATTCATATGGCCCCAACCCTGTCGGCCTTCCGTAAGGCCTTGAAAACTTGGCTTTTTGTCCAGGCATTGGCCAGGGTGTCAAAAGAACCCATCTTGTAATGGCTTTAGAAACATGATCGTAGTTTGGCCCTGACTGAAAATAAAAAACATAAAAACACAATGCATTCATTTCTGCTCTTTATTTTTAATCCTGTGCTAGCTGCCCAGAGTCACGATTTGTGAGTTGAGCAGCCAAATCAATCAAATAAATATTGATTTTCCCCCCCATGCTATAACTATAGTTGGATTTAATTCTCATGGAAAAGCTAATCAAAGGTTAAGAGTACCATGAAGAGTCAAAGTAAGTTTCCACATGAGGTTCTTTAAAAAAAAAAAAAAGTGTGTGGGGGGGAGCGGACTCCAGAGCCTCTCTGCCTTCACTTGTTTGTTCTTAAACTCTCCACAATTCTGGGAAGAAGAGAATCAGCAACAAATTGCTACTTTCTCTACTTCATGAGTGGATCTGATGATAAATCATGATTCTTTCTTTAATTTTCCATTCCCAGGCTCCACGTCTGTTTCAAGGACCACCTAACTCTATAGAAAACATTTGGAGATTGTACAGAGAAGAGGAATCAATACTTTTCTTCCACTGACAAAAATCCTGAAATCCGACCCTTGATGGCTTAGGAAGTGTTTGTACCTGTTTGTCTCTGCAGTGTTAGGTGCTGAAGGATTTGAGAGCTGCTGTTGATGATGTCTTGCAGGAGGCTGGGAGGAAGGAGGGTTGGTAAACAAGAAATTGCTAATAAATCGCCAAACAGCTATCAGCGGATAGAGGATTGTGCCAAGGAACCTCCATAAATCTCCACTGGAAGACTGTACGACTGCTGTAGCTGGCCTTCCCGCCTATTTATGGGAAAACAAACAAGTACCATTTAAAAACTAGAATTTTATTTTTAAAAACCCTTATTATATTATGTGTTTACTATAACTTGTGTTTACAGTAAATTTATAGTATTTATTTGAATACTGCATATTTTTGTTTCTTTCCCTTTTTCATACTTACAGGCAACAATACTACTGAAGCGCTTGGGGCAAGTTCCAGGTCCAATAATTTTTTCCCATAATCATCTTTGGTAAATTCTCTTCTGGGAAACATTGTTGCCAGTGAGAAATTGCCATATGTGTTGCCTACAATCTATAACAGAACAAGCCAAGTTAATTTCTATTCTCTAGAAACACAAGGAAATACAAATGACATGCCATTTCTAAGACAAATAGACTTTTGTCCCAAAACTGTTTTCATGAGGAATGAAAAGTTCTTCATTGACCCATAAGAATATTTGGATCCTTACTTGCCTGCCTTCTTTATTTTTGAATAACAATAAATTGTGGACAAGACAAGCAGTGATTGATCAGCTTGTATTACTGATATGTTCAGTAGCAAATAATGTGCCCTATTATTGTCTGATGACTTAAATAAACCATCCTTCTAAGCAGAAATTAAGGAGGAGTACTAAGAGTTATTAGGTCCTGAATTACATTCAATGGGTCTGGCAACCTACTTTCTTTCATACATGCTTTACCCAGTTTTTATGTTGGGCAGGGGTGCTTTTTTTACTATAGCACAATCTTTTTCCCACAACAAAGAAAGAGAGACAGAGACCAAATTTCAATGGCACTGTTGGGGTGATGGATGGGTGGATAGATGGGCTGTAATCATGTAAATATCATAAACATTGGCTGGGGTGCTTATGGGTTATTCAGGTCTGTGCTTGCAGTACATAACTGAATAAAAAAACCCTCCTTATTAAACCTATCTCCTTAAAACATTGAAAGGCAATAATTTATTTCAACTATTCATGCAGCCTTCCAATTAATTTTTTGAAAAAGAATAGATGCTTGTTCACCTGTGCAGCAAATTGGCGAGCTTCTTCCAAGGGGGCATCCGAAGGGAAACTATTAGTAAAAGAAGATCCATCTGGAAGACGAAACTGGATTCTTGCTATAGCACTAGAGGGGATATTTTACATTAAGAGTCAGGATTTTTAAACTTTTGGTTTTACAAACAACACCTTCCTGGCATTTAAATTAAGGGAAAGCAGGTGGTTCTACAGAAAAAGAGCTCTTTACTTATATCAACACTGGACTAGGAAATCTGTGAACTCAGAACAAATAAATTCTCTGCCAAGAAGGTTTATAGCCCAAAAATAGATTAGAATAACTTGCACTTGCCTCCAAAATGTGCAACTTTTGTGCAAGTTGAAAAGAGAGAGATTTGCAACCGGGGGGGGGGGGGGGGGAAAAAAAATTTACCTTTTCTCCCTTGGGGACGCCTCCTTCCTAGCTGCCATTTCCGCTTGCTTAGCCTGAAGAGCAGCAGCTTTTGCAGCTTCTGCCTCTTCTTTTGACCTCGCAAAACGAGCTGCTCTCTCAGCACGATCCTTCACAAAACAGTAAAACAGGTGATTACCATGGCTCTCTTCTGTGCCAGCTGCAATTGTTAAGACCCTCTCACTTCCCGCAAAGATCAGTGACAGAAATCACCATGGCTTTGATGCAAAAGGAACTGTAATATTTGAGTTAGATCCAGATCAAACTATATTTAGACGGAACCACTGAAATCAGTAATAAGCAAATTGATCCTACTCTTAAACCTTGCTGATGAAGTATAACTGTGTCCAAGGCAAGGTCCACACCAATGATCAGGGAACTATATTTAGGATCCATGTGCTGAAGCTTTCCTTGTTCCAGTGAACCATACGCTTGAAGACTTACCAGTGCAATCTGCTGCTTGATGCGTTCCCTAGCAGCTTTCTCCTCAGCTTTTTCTCTGTTCCTTTCTTCCAATATTCGTTTTGTAAGTTCTTCTTCCTGTTTCCTTTTATATTCCAACATTTCTTTCCCACTTTTTCTTCTTTCTATTTCTTTTTTTATTTCTTTCTAAATAAAAAGAAAATACGTATTTTATTTACTGGATTTATACCTCACCTTTCTATTTATTTAATAACCAAGACAGCAGTAAAAAAGCAACATAGAAACCAAACAGCACAGCTAAAACACAGCTAAAACTCAAAGATTAACATGAAATACATTTATTTCACAATTAAAAGTGTGGTGGGAGTGATGTTACCAACCTCCTGAATATAGGGAAATTAGGAGACAAGTGCATCTCCCTAGGAAGCACATTCCACAGGCTGAGCGCTACACAAAAGACAGTGTGACAAAAGATGAGCCTCTGGCAGTGGGAGTATCTTCAAAAGAGTCTGTCTTACTAATCTGAAGGACTGGACAGTTCACAGCAATATAGGTCACCCTTCGGAGCTTTACAGGTTATTATCAACACTGTGAATTATGGCTAGCAAGCAACTAATAGCCAGTGCAGCCTAATTCCATCTAGGCCATGTTTTACCACAATACCAGAATCTAGCATTTTCCTTATCAACTTCACCTCCATTTTGTCTGAATTTAGTTTCAGTCTAAATCTTCAGCCCAATATCAAGGTTAGGCAATGTTAATAACAGTGATTGTTCTTTACCTTCTAACTCCAAGAAAGCAATGTATCTGAATAGCATCAGCATATTCATGAGCTCAATTAGAAAGCTGTGAATAACCTTTCCCAGAAGTTTTATGTAGGTATTAAAGATCATAGGAGACAAGACCCTGAGGGATACACCACAGATCAAAGACTAGGGTATAATTCCACTACCTTCCGGGCAGGAAAGAAGGGAACCACTGCAAGACAGTGCCCCCAAAGCTTAATCCTATCCAATGGTCTGTGCTTGAAAATACTGAAAGCCACTAAAAGGCCCCAAAGAACTAGCAGAATTGCATTCCCCTTATTTATGTGGGCCCATCACTAAGGCAAGCAAAATGGCCTTAATACTCTATCCTAGACTAAATCCAAATTAACATGAGTCCAGAAAATCAGTTTTACTCAGGTGCACCTGGAGTTGCAAGCTACTGTTTTTGAATCATCTTGCCTAGGAATGAAATATCTAAGACTTGTCTATAATTAGAAAGGATTCCCAGGTCAAGGGAGTGTTTTCTTATAAAAAAAACATAAAGGTCTTATAACTGTCTCCTTTCACATACTGGAACACAAGGAGACATTTAACATCTTTCTCAATCAAGGGGCTAGTCCCAGCCTGGGTGAATTAATCATCCAAAGGTAAAGGCCAAATAAGCAAGTAGTGGCCCTCACTTCTCCACCCACTCCACATATTTCCAAGGTATTAAAATAAGTCTGTATTCTGCCAGCTGGAACATTCATAAATGGAGATTGGCAGTGCTACAAACTGAATTATATTCCACCTGTTCTTCTTCTTTCTTCTTCTCTTCTCTTCTCTCTTCAAGTTTTTGTGTCACTCTATATTTTGAAAGAAGACAATAAACTCAAGCTGAAGCTTAATTTCTGTGTAATGAAATCTCATATCAAAGTCACATCCAAATTTCACAACTCACCAGTGATAATTTTGCTACAATAACTTAATTGCATGTTTTAAAACTGTGTCTAGGATACAACATACTGACAAAAATGTGGGTTCAGAAAATAAGGCAAAAATTGTTTTACTAACTTTTGTTCCTATGAAGAGAAGGAATTCTGGGTGCTACCATATACTATACATATTTCTATTTTGTACATACTCTCACCCTTGTTTTTCCTTATAAAATCAACCTTTCAAAACTTGGCTTCCTTCCTAAGAATGAAAATACTGGAAGAAGCTTTGATACAAGTTTCATTTTTCTTTTGATTTCATTAATTTAAAAATAACATTTTTTGTCAGTATGTTGTATCCTAGACACAGTTTTACTATTTTGTACATACTCTCACCCTTGTTTTTCCTTATAAAATCAACCTTTCAAAACTTGGCTTCCTTCCTAAGAATGAAAATTCTGGAAGAAGCTTTGATACAAGTTTCATTTTTCTTTTGATTTCATTAATTTAAAAATAACATACTGACAAAAATGTGTGTTCAGAAAATAAGGCAAAAATTGTTTTACCAACTTTTGTTCCTATGAACAGAAGGAATTCTGGGCGCTACCATATACTATACATATTTCTATTTTGTACATACTCTCACCCTTGTTTTTCCTTATAAAATCAACCAAAAAAACAACAACATTATTTTTGTTCATATAAAGAAATGGCCTAATCAAACCTCAGTGGTGCTAAGGCATACCAAACTTTCACAAAAAACATGCATTATACAGTAATTACAAAAAACATACCTTTCTACTCTAGCAGCAAGGTCATCTGTAGTCTGTTCTACCCTTGTGTTATTTTTCTCATTTGTCTGGACCAAATTTACTTCATCTTCTCATAAATGAGAAATCCCATGTTAAAAAAAAGATAAAGATTGAGACTTTCATCATAATAACAATGACACAATTATATTTGTTAACACAGGTATTGTATTAATAATTGCTACTGACTTAATGCACACATTTTATATCAATGTGATATAAATGTTATTTCTGGTGATAGAAATAACATGACACTTTTGTCTGATTATGATATTTTTGTAAAAAAATGTTTTATTACATTATAGAATGCAATAAAAAAGAGGCATAGTTCTGTACAACCATTTGCAAACTACAAAAGGTATTGGGGAGACAAGCAGAAGGCTGGAAGGTCACAGAAAGCAGTTAAAGGATAATAACACAAGGAGGCAGATCCAATGGGCCATCAGTTATTACTAGGCTAAATATTAAGAGGATTGAACAGTAAAGTTGCAAAGTTATCTGTAAGTAAAGAGCTACTAATACTTACCATCTGAGGTTAAATTCAATCTTTCTAGCTGTGTTTCAGAAGTTTCGACTGTTTGTGATGGGGAATCTTCTGTGTTGCTATATAAAGAGGAGGAACATGAAGGAGAACTTTCTAACCCTTCATTTTTTATTAAGTGCATCTAAGGAAGAAGGAAGTGTTGACATACATAAGTGTTGCAGTTCCGTCACACTATTTTAGATACTACCTACCTATTACGTTTAAAAATTTGCACTCGTTACATTTTAAAGAACAAAACACAGTTCTATGTTGCCTAGTATGCATACTATCTCAGGCTATATTTCAAAATTTATTTCTAGACTAGGCAACATGATCCTTGCTAAATGTCTCAGCTGCAACTTCCATAATTCCTTGCTACTGAACATGCTGCCTGGAGCTGATAGGAATTGAAGCTGAAAAGAATTGGAGGCACCAGGTTGCCTGTCCAAGGTCTACTGTATCTACTTCAATATCACCTATCTCACTATGCATTCAGGAAGCAACTACAAGTAGTCCTTCCTTAACAATAGTAACTGGGAATGGAATTTCCATCACTAGGCAACATGATCTTAAAGTGTGTCCATGCTGCTTAGCAATGGCAGTTCTGGCAGTCCCCGGTTATCGTTGTTAAGCAAATCACTGCGGGTCATTAAGCGAGGACCTCATGTGACTGTGACTTCCAACTTCCTGCCGGCTTCCCCATTGAGTCTGCTTGTGGGAAGCTGGCAGGGAAAGTTGCAAATCACAATCATGTGACTGCAGGAAGCTGTGATGGTCAGAAACGCTGGCTGGCTGCCAAGCACCCAGATCACAATCATGTGACCATGAGGGTGCTGCAACAGCCAGAACTTCGAGGACTGGTCATAAGTACAACTCATTCAGTGTCATCATAAGTTTGAACGGTCACTGAACAAGTGATCATTAACCGAGGACCACCTGTAATACTAAATGAAAAGTAAATAAAAGATTCTTTTCTGACAACAAAAGCCGAGTGTGGAGTAATTTAATCACAACAATGCTGCAACTAGTATGTGTTGTGAACAACGTGATACAAATTAAGTAGATTCTAATTCTGTGTAAAGAATGGATAAAATAATTCCACATGGCTTTTAAAGGAAAAAAACTTTTGCGACAGACTTTTCTTACTGTACTAACAAAGGCTGACATTATTATATATAGGAGGCAAACATACTCAATACTCCTGCCTCCTATTTTCTTCACAACAACCCTATGAGGTAGGTTGGGGCTGAGAGAGAGTGACTGACCCAAAATCACCCAGGCGGCTTTCATGCCTAAGGCAAGCCTAGAACTAACAGTCTCCTGGTTTCTAGGCCAGCACCTGAACCACTACACCAAACTGGCTATCCAATCCAATACATAATAAAAAGTAACAGTTAATTTATTACAATAAATATTTTATTCCTCTAATAAAAGTTCTCACGACTGAATATATTTCAAGCTCTGAACATAATAAAGAATTGTTTAATTGAATGCAACATCAAAAGGAAAAGAGTTTGTGTGTGTGTGTGTATTTACTAATTTATACAATTTGTATGGCCACCCAATTCACAACATGTGATTCTGGGCAGCTAACATAGGATTAAAAACAAAACAAGATAAATAATAAACATAAATGAACCACTACAGCACAATGTATAACAGCACAGAGGCAAAAAGGCAACATATTCAAAATCCTAAACCAATTTTCCAGACAGTTCATCTGATGTCCTAACTCAGTCCTTGGAGGAAAAATCATTTTTTTTAAAGCCTTATGAAAGGGTCAGAACCATCTGAATCTTGTGGGGTAGAGAGGACATTCTGTTCCAAAGGGCAAAGTGGATGCATGATCCTGCCATCCCAGTTCTGCCACAGGTCATCTCCAAGTGTGATTAATGCCATCTTAATACTATACGCTGGTATGAAACCCAACTGAAAAGGGTCCAGATAAAATGTTTCCTCCAGGGCCCTCTGGAACTGCAAGCTGAATACTTTTTCATCAAACTTTCCTGGAAAGGGATGGTTGGAGACCAGACAAAAACTGTCCAGAATTGCTGCATTCAGGGATGATCTATTGAAAAGGGGCAGATCACAGCCTCATTAAGAGCTAGCAGAACCACACCAATCCTAAAGAACGTATTCACTACTGCCTGGATCCAACCACACATCATATTCTGGAGGCCCTTAACCAGCCAGGAGGACACAAGGGGCCACAGAGAACAGCAAGGCCAATAGAACATGATCTCACCATGATAAGGGGCTGACAGTAACACCCCCTAACTCCAGATCATGTCACCACTACACCATGACACAAACTAGGTCTAACATGTGACCACTGCTCTGAGTCAGGGCTTTAATAACCTGTATCAAATCCATGGTTGCCATGCTGGTCATGAACTCCTGGGGTTCCTATTACCTCAGACCTAGGGAAGGCAAGCTGAAGTTCCCCAATATAGTAAGTCTAGGGAATTCTGCTGCCAAGCCAGCCACTACTTAGCAGGGAGACTAACTGGCAGAAATCCCAACTGATCCCTGCACCCAACTTTAATAACAAGGCCTCACACCCAGTTATCTGCAGGACAGCACCTCTGAAACCCTCTCTTGGATGACAATAACTACTACAGGTAGTCCTTGCTTAACAACCACAATAGGGACTGGAAAATTGGTTAAGTCGGGTGGCTGTTAAGCAAGTCACCACATGACTGGACCCAATTTTACGACCATTTTACAACAGTTGTAAAGTGAATCATGTGGTCGTAAAGCAAATCACATGTTTGTTAAGCAAATCCAGCATCCCCAATGGACTTTTTTGCTCGTATTCACTTAATGACCATGTGATTCGTTTAACAACCATGGAGATTCGCTTTATGACAGCTGCAAAAAGGTCACACATTGTGATCATGTGACTGGGGGGGTGCAATGGTTTCCGATGGGCGTAAGTGCGAGTATAGGTCGTAAAGCACTTTTTCTGAGGCTGTCATAACTTCAAATCATCATTAAATGAACAGTTGTTAAGCAAGGACTACCAGTACACTACCCCTGCCCAGGGGTTGAAGCTAGTGCCACACCAAGGTGGGCGCATTTACAAGAGGGAAAGACCCCTCTTTATGCCCACCAGGTTTCAATAATACATACTACGTCAGTCCTCACATCCACTATCAAGTCATGGATAAATGAGAGCTCATTATAAGCCAACCTAGCATTCAATAGCAGCAGCTGAAAGACCTAGCCGCTGAAGTATAGACTTGTTACTGATTACATACCTTTCATCTTTTACAAGTTTGGCACAAAATTAAAAAAAAAAAAACTCCTTTATTTTACTGAAAAATCAGATTCATAACTGTTTTACCTGCTTGACTTTATGAATTCTTGTAATCAGTTCTTCTGCAGACACACTGCCAGCAATTACTTCAAGAGGGATTCCATTATCTCCTATAAAGAAACTAGATGGAATACACACTACAGGATCTATGCAACAACAGTAAAGGACAATATATTACCATAGGAGTAAACTAGACAAGCAAAGAAAATGGGATTAAAAAAACTGGGATTACTGAAAGGAAATGGGCAGTTTATATTCTTCATAAAGCAAAGATGTACCAGATTTCAAAGGTACTTCAAAGTGTCATTTTTCTGCTTTCTCCTGAAACTGAACAGCCAGTTCAAGCGAGAAGCAGTACTTTGAACCTCTCTGTTTTTAAGTCTTACTTTTTGCCACATTTGAGATTATTATTGCATTATCAAGATTCTTATGCATGGTTTGTAATTAATTGCTAAACATAACTTCTACAGGATCAGATCAAAGATTCATCTAGTCCAGTAGTCCACTTCCAAGCATAAATGAACTGATGTTTGAGATGCTCATAATCAAAAGTAGGAAAGCAAGGATGTTCCCCAAGCATCTGGTACACAACTATCAGCTGCCTCTGTACACTAAAGTTCACTTTTACTAATATTAAATAAAGATGTTAGTTGGCCTATTCTATACTAATAGGTTTAATCGTTTTATAGTCATTTAAGCTAGTGGCCATAATCACATTCTGTTGGTAGTGAAATCCAGTGAGTTGTAGGGGACAGTACTCATATGGTTCAGTTGACTGAATCAACACGTTATATTGAAAACTAGATCTAGAACAGTTAACTGTAAACCATTCGGCAATCATTTGGATGCTGTTTCAGAATCAGCTTCCCACATGGAACGTTACTGTCAAAATCCCTGTTTTCAGCAGGCTATGTCTCTATTAGCCCTAGCATGAAGCTAAGAAAAATATAAGAGAAAAAATCTGTGAGACTAAAGAAGCTGAAATAACTATCTGTTGTTGTGTTCCTCTACAGAAAACAATAAAGACGATCATTTATTACTTGTATAGTACCATCAATGTATATAATGTTTAAACAACATAGTGCCATCCTGGAGGATCTTACAGCTAAAAGCTCTGCCTAGAGGAGAGCAATAGAACATGCGGAAAGTAGATGTAATGGTGAACAGAGAAGCATATGAAGCCATCTCAGTTAAACATGCATGGATTTTGTTAAAGGGTGTGGAACAGTACAGCATGAAAATGATGCAGTTGGGCTTCAAATAAAGTATGAATTTAATGGAGTGATCTGATGGTTTCATACAAATGTTTGAGAGGGGGCAGTTCCAAGGCTATGTGACAGCAAGGGCAAACATATTTTTGAGGAAGCGGGAGATCCAACAACATCCTAAAAAGATGTCAGCGTAACAAAGATGTACTAGACCATTTATTTTAGTTTTGTAATCATGTACTATGAAATTGTACAATTTTATGATGTTCAAAGGATACAGATTTGTGAGAACTGCAGGCAGGCTTCACTGTGTAAGAGAAAGCATTAATTTACTATTATAACCATAAACAACTGGAATGTTATAAAACATTTAGATATACCATATTATTATCCATATTACTGCATACTATTTATGAGATTGCACCAAATTAGTTTCTTATTTTTTAGGATACTATACTGAAACCAAGAAATATAATACTACACAAGTTATATAACATATGAGAACTTTAGGATTAACTATGTTATCTGTCACAAACATAAGCAAGTGGTTCTTTGCTGAAAAGGCTACATGCATGTTCACACAACTAAGCTCTTTGATTTCAGCAAAAGGAGATAGGAAGAACGGATCAGTTCAATTTTTTTCTTGTTTTGTTCCTTCAGTTCCAAAAGTATTTTTTTCAAAGTTAACCTTACTAACTTTAACCTTACTGATGTGTGAATCTGCTTTTTCCTCCTCCTTCTTCCATCGTATTTCCTTCCCCCATTACTCATTTTATGTAAGCCATATCTTTGGCTGAAAAATAGGATAAAACTACTTAAGACGGATAAATAGTAAACTACACTAACCTAGGAAGTTAAACAGATTTTTAAAAATGTCGCCCAGGAACAAATGTCACCCCAAAATTGGGCAGAAAGAAGAAATGTACATCATTTAAGCGAGAAACTATATCTTACACAAGTAACTTTTCCTGTGGAGGGAAGGGCTGCTAAGCTGTCTTGAAAAGTGGAGAAATGAAGTATGTATATACATACACCTATAAGCACCTTTTTAACCTTTTCTGATAGAACATTTTTTCCATTCTAAATTGCCTCTCAGAGAGAAAAAATGTATCTGGATCCTAGGATGAGAAAAGTCCTGGAAGAGTGGGGAAAAAAAGGTAAGAAAAAACTTAAGGGCACACTATCACTGCTCTAAACTGTGTCTTATTAGAGGGCTTACAATGGGAGGATGGGAGAAAAATTCTATAGGTTGTCAGCCTTCCTATAAGTTTTAGGGATTTTAATTTTTAGTGTGAAAATCAAGTATCAACTAGATCTTATTCTGGCTGATGGTCAAACGGCAGAAAGTATATGAAGTAAATTATTATGTAAAATATATTCTTAATGTCTACTTGTATAAAATGTATTATTTCTTCCCTCTAAATTAACAATTTTTTCCAAAATATCTGATTAGAAAGAAGTATCTGAAAGTAAAATATTTATTGAGAATACAAAATATATTGCCAAACCTTTGGGTATCAATTTTAATAGCCACAAAGCCATCTGTTGCTGCCTCAGACACTTTTGCATTCTCCCAGCTAGCAGCCATTTCTGTGGACTGTTCATCTTGCCCTATGAAAAACATTAGTTTTATAGATGTAATTATATCTTAATTACAAATTGCAATGTATTCCAAATATAATCTCATAATTTATTACTTTAAAACAGGAATGCTCATATAATTCCAAAATTGGGTTTGATCCAAAAATCAGGTAACCTACATCATCAGGTTCTCATAGATCAACTTTAAGAAACCCAGACCAGACTTGTCACAAACGGGCAACAGGTGCAATACACAGACAAATAGCTCCAGATAATCCAAATAAGAGAAGCCTTCATCAGTTTGGATGAGAAGGAGGGAAAATAAGAATGACCATGCTGATTCCATCTTTCCATCTCAGTAATCATAGTCTCCTCAATCTTATGACGAACGTCTGAAACAGAGGGACCTCTCTGATCTATGGAGGTTCTCTATGGATCCACAGCACTTCCTCTTATTTTAATGCCAAAACATTACACTCATCTCAGTGCTCAAATAAGACAGGTTAAGTATGAATCCAGTGTGACTGTTTGAAAAGAACCATACATCTCACTCCACTTTGAGCACTGCCATGTTTGAAATATGGATGAAGTGGTGACTTTATTTGGGTAATATATTTATCACTTGCTCTACTATAACATATATGGTACAGGATATTCTTATACAGGAGGAGTAAGACTTCTGAGGACTTCCAAGAGTATTGGAAGGAATGTCAATAAGCTACTGAAGCTGTTGCAGAAACTGAAGAAGACCTAAGAACAATAATTGTAAAAGGAGAGTGAAAAGCCAGGCTTTCTATGAATTTCAAGAAAACAAAGGTCATATCTACTGGAAAACTAGAGGAATTTAGGATAAATAGTGAAATGACAGAAGTAGTTCACAGTTTCAGTTTTCTAGGCTCCAGAATTGATGAAGATGGCAGGTATACAAGAGATTCAGATAATAATAATGATGGGCAAAAGATACTGAAGGGCACTATATAAACTCATGAAAAACCCTGAGATTTCAACTAAGAGAAAAATTGGAGTGATCCACTCAACTGTCTTCCCTGTTATGATGGACAGACTCTGCACATGAATGAGAATGATTCTTTGAATTATAAAGCTGGAAGAAGCTGCTCCACATACCGTGGACAGTCCAGAGGACGAACTTCTTAATATGAGAGAAAATCAAAGCTAGGCTTGAACGCTCAGTGGAAACAAAGATGAAAAAAACTATTGTACTTTGGACACATCATGAGGACAGGTCTATCTATGGAATATATGATAATACTGGGGGAAGGTAGACAGAAGAGGTGGAAGGAGTGCTACAGAAATGCACTTAGCATAATGTAGTGACAGTCAGCACAATTTGGAGAGCTGTTATTCATCAAGTCACCAGGAATCAACTTAACTGGAAGGAATGTTAACAGTTCTTACGTTAAAAAGGAGCAACAATGAGAATATTTATTATAAGAACTTCCTTACTTTATTGTCACATGAGATGGTAGGTACAGTTTGATTTCCTCCCATATGATCTGGCATTTTTCTTTTCTGCATCTAAAATAAGTTCTAAACTACAAAAGCTTATGGTTAACAACACTTTAGAACTGGGATAGTTTGTAGTGACTGAGGCTGATGAAAAATGTACTCTAAAAACATAGAAGGCATCAGGTTATTTATTACTAATTTAATCTGAATATATTATTCTGGAATTATATTTTAATATGACTATAGTAGCACTCCCTCAAAACAGCCGCCAATAAGTTGCCCATATCAGGTTTTCAGGAAAGAATATTGAGGCTAAATTTTATTGGGAAAAATTATATAGCAACCCTAGTTTATAAAGCTGTATCACAAAAACAATAACAATAATGGTATTTCTCATGCAGCATGTTCTGTCTCAGCTAACCAGAACTGAAAAACCAAAGTATGTCATTTAATTTAATTCAATGGTTCAGCCATTAACTTTCCAGTTGACGTTTAGTTATATACTAGAACTATGCCATTAGCTTAATAATGATAGAAATATACAAAGGGAGAAAAGGCCACAGCACTTTATGTGCATGTGTAGCTATTTAATTTTTAAAAAATCAAAATGGGAAAGGAAAGATGATGTTTTGATATTGTCAACAGAGTAACTAGTATCACTGCTTTAAAAATCTACCTTATTGATAGCAACAGGAAGATGTGGAAAAAAAAAAGCCAAGTCCAGCCTACTGCCAGAAGAGTTACAAGCTGTGTACTCAGAATTACTACCCTAGAGAAAACCAGACAGAAAAATAAAGAGCTCAAATGTATCATTGTCCCCTGGAGGATGTTCCCCATGTGATGTAATATACAGAACACATGCAAGAATCATACAATGCACAATCGGATTAATGTTTATATTAATTTACAGTATAATTAACTTTAAATTCTCAAGGCTTTAATTGTTTTTTCAGTTTGGCATTAGCATTCTTAACAGTTCCACCCTGTTTTATATACTTAAAATTTCTCATTAGAGCTATCATTTTGTTAGTTACTTCAGTCTTGAATATTCTGAAATTTTTTAAAAAAATGTCTTGAAATGGAAACTGCCTTTTGTATTAAGAGTTGAAAATGTTTTAGATTCTACCATTGAATAGACATAAATGGCCTCAATCTTTTGAATTAAAACAACTAGCTTTAGGCTGCAAGCCTAACAGTGAAATAATCCAGTTAGTGAGAATTCCCTATAGTTCTCTAGTATATGTCAACTATACCATAAGAGGTATCATTATCAATTTTCAGTTTCATATTTAGAAATTAATATTTAGAAACAGCTGAGAGTCCAGTGACTAGGACAGTATTTTTCAGGCACACTTTACAACTGCTGTTTTAGTGCACAATGATTCTGTCTATTGTTAGTGAAGAGATATGAATAAACTCCAACAAGAGTAGTGGGATTATTGTCTTTCTGGACAGATTCAGCTTGCAGCACATTCTTGTTTAACCCAAAGGGCTTCTTTTTGGTTCCCTATCTTTACATATAACCAAATGAGGTGCCAAAGAATATTACACATTTTTAAGCCTCTTCATGAAGATGCCTCAGATTTTTTTCAGTTGTAGCAAAAGAATTTTCAGAAGGCATGACTAGAGAAACTGAAGAGGAGCAAAGAAATTAAGAAGGAAGACAGATATTTAATAAAGACATGAGGCACATATACAAACCAATTGATAGAACAAGAGTGATTTCCTTTTTTAGAGTAGGATAAAAACAAGCAAAAGTAGCATTAAGACCATGGACACCATTAAAGATGTGGTAGATTTGAGGTAGCTTGGGAAATGTCAACCAGATCACTATGTCTTTGGATATACTCTGGAAAATGTAGCTGGATTTTTCATACTTGGTAAACTGTAAGTACTTGATTTATCATACTTGGTAAACTGGCTAGTTAAATGTGAGATTGGTTTTGAGAATTCAGTTCCTCTTATTCACTGAAGCCCAAGAGCTTGAAAGGAAAATGTGGAGAGAGGCTCTGTAACATCACATTCCAGCCTTGGAAAGTGGCAAACTAGAAAAAACAAGATTTTAAACCCAGGGGTGTCTGATACCTCATAATCAACTTTACGGTAATGTGTCATTTTTAATCTATTCAATATCCATAAAACATGAAGGTGTTTTGTTCCCTGCTTATCCTGACATGGCAAGCCCTCCCACAGAAAGGTCACCAAAATAGAGGAAAAAAGTTCATACCAGCATTTAGTTCAAAAGTAAACATACAATTACTAGGAATTCATGGGATTGATAAAGACACCAGATGTGGAATACAAGAAACAAAATGGAGAAGAGCAGGAGGCTCAAGTGCCAAGTCCAGAGGGCACTCCATGGAGGAAACATGCAGAGAAGAAAGCAGGCAGAAATAGTTCTTTAGGTGAAATTCTTGGGCTGAAAAAATAATTTGAAATAATGCATGGGAGCACGGGTAATTTCTACTATAGGCATTTGACCATGTTTTTGCTTAAATATGTGTCTTGGAGTAATATATATGAGTAAGTTATGTTTTGCTTCGACCAGCGTATATCACATTCAACAACCCTAGCCAGCTTAATTGCTGGCTGGGGATAATGCAGCACCTAGCTTATCTTGCCTGACCTCGAAAAGCAAAGCCGAATTAGGAACGGTTAGCACTTGCATGGGAGACTGCTCACGGCTGCAGGATAGACTGAGAAGTTGAAAAAACTCCCGGAAGAAGGCAACGGCAACCCCCTGCCGTGTTATTGCCAAGAGAACGACACGGACATGGCTGTGCACTTAGCAAGAGTCAAGGTTGACACACAACAGTCTGGACAATTTATAGGCCACTCCATCTGGAGGCGATCAGGTTGGGAGAGGCCGTGAGAAGAACCACAGGAGACACCTCTTAATCCTCTCCTCTCCTCTCCCAAAGGAGCACCGCTTTCTCTAAAGCGTATTTTAACGTAAGCCCCTTCTCGGCCTGAAGTCCTGGAGAGGCGGCTCGCGGGCCCTCCGAAGCCAGACTCGCCCGTCGGCTGCTCAGGCCCTTCTCACCCTCGCAGGCCTTTTCAATCGCCAGAGGAGGCCCAGCGTCCCCTGGGACAACCCAAGCAGATCCGCACCGCGTCTGGCAGAGACTCCCAGGGAAACAAGAGAGCTGACGCGGCGTTAACCACCGCGGGCGGGCCCGTACCTTGCACAAACACCACGAAAACGGCGCTACGCTGCTTGGCGGCGGCAATGGCGGCCGGGATGGTGCCAGGGAACCACAGCATAATGGCGTCGTCGGCGGAGGGTCCGCGCGCAGACGATGAACGGGAGGTGCGCGCGCCCCTTGTCGCTCCGGCCCCTTGACCCTCCCGCAGCCCGTTTGCCTTGACGCGTCGTGCGCGTGCGCGTCACAAACATCACCCTCCTTCCGGAGGCGGTGACTCTACCTCTTTCCCCTTTCCCCGAAGAGGCGATAAGCGCCAAGGGCGCAGGCGCCTTTAAAGCGTTGGTGGGGGGGGGGAGCAGGCGCACGAAGGGATCGCTCCGACTGGGCGTCCAGGAGTGTCTTGCTGGGTTGAGCCGTAGCAGCAGATAGGCGGCAAGGAGAGCTAGTTGGATGGCGGGGGGTGGCGGTGCTGAGTTACCCCAAGGCCTGGCATGAATTAAATGAAGGGCATGGGCAAGCATATAGAATATTGCAGTTCAGCAGCTAGTATGTCCTAGAGCCACTCTGACCACTTTTGGGAGGAAAAAAGAAGTTGTTTGATTAGCAGGTTTCACAGAGCCCAGGTTTTCCAAGCGTGGACCGCGAGAATATTTGTATGCAAAATTGGAGTACTGTATACAGTTGTGCAATATTGGGAACCAGCTCTTGACTTCCGTGTCTTGGCCTTGTTCAGGCTTGGGCCCAGAAGAGTGCTTGCCCCTGCGATTGGTTGCGGGTTTTATGGGATCCTGGTTTTTTAGGATCCCATAAAATCCATTCAACCAATCCATTTAGAAGGAATGAAATCTGTAATGATAGTATATGTCGCTTTTATTGTCTTATGTGTCCTGATCGTCATAATTGCATATTGTGTATTGTTTCATATAAGTTTTATTTTAAAATGGGGTGCTGCTGTTTCATTGAGATGAAATCACTTTGTGAAAGTCATAAAAAATCAGAAATTTTAACCTCTGGGGCAAGTTATTGAGGAATAACTCAGTAGGTTATTCCTATATCCTGGGCTATGTGCATCTCAGAAATGTAAAGTATGTGTGAGCCCATGAAGCTCGTTTCATTGTAGCCCACAGCCTCCCCTGAATGTGATAGGCAGGCAAATACCCAACAGATGAAGTTTTCTCTACTGCTGGACCTAAAGAAAGCCTTGCCAGCAAAGATGGCAATATGTTCTCAATCATATCAGAATATGCCATTCTGTGATCACTTATAACAAAGAACAGAATAACAGGGTTTCTAACCAAACTTAATTGAAATTTGAATAACTTGGTAGTCATGCCAAGGTTCATAATGGATCAGTTTTAGTTAAAATGTCTTTACCAATTTTAAGTCAAGATAGACATAATCACTACTGCACCCTTTTAGGAAACTCCATTAGAGTGCTTATGGTACCAGACAATATGTTTCTAGCATCATAGGCTGTCTGGGTTGATATTTCAAGCTGAAATTCCATATATACTTCACTAGGACTAAGTCCCCTTGAACTCAGTAGGAATTACTTTTAATTACATGTTTGCACTGTTAGATCTATATATGCATATTTTTTTACATTGGTAGGGATTGGGCTTTCAATTAATTTTTTTTATTATAAAGATCCCAGGATGTTTTATGAGGGTGATAATAAACTTTATTTTAGGAACTAGATTTTGCCAACTAAATTTTTTTTTTATTATGGTATCAAAGCTATAATTCTCTGGGGATTGTGGAATAAGTCTTCCTGAATTTTAATATAAAGACTCCTCAAGTGGTCTCCAGTCTGAGTACTAACAAGGTCAGCTAAGTTCTATGTGCTTGCAAAGCTCAAAAGAATTTACTTCTGAATAAACACACATAAGAGTGAAATGTGTATTTAACTCATTGTTCTTTTCTTCACTCTTAAAGGAAAAAGGAAAAAAAATATCACCACTGTATGGCTGAAGTGACTGTGTGTCTTTGGAACATTTCAATAATTATGTTAGGGGTTCTCAAATTTTGAGTGGTGGCTGCTGGTAGATCCCATGCAACTTAGAGGTGGGTCAGACCATTGAAATCACTAATACTTGGCCTTGGATTCTCTCAGAAATATTTGAGTGTTTCTGTTATCTCTGGTGGCGTGGTGTGTAGAAGTTTATCAGAACGGTACATAGCAGTGAAGTTCAATATTTTTAGCCATTATTTTAAATTTCTAGCATTTCAAAATGGTAAGAGAAAAGCTGGAGATCAGCAATCTATCATTAGTCCTGTCAAGAAAGTATGATGAAAGTTATTTTCAAGCTGAAAAACAAGTGCTTTTGCTACTGGAGTAGAATGATCTCAGTGTGTTGTCAGAAAATATTGCCCACTGAAAGCATATAGCCAAACAAAAGTAAAACATATGGAAACAGTTGATACAAAAATTGTTGCAGTTTACTCTTATTTTGTTATATAGATTAAAATTTAATTATTAAAAGTAAGCACCATGTTTACTTTTTGTTGAACCCTGACTCCAATTAAACTATTCGTTTTATTTAGGGGGTTGCATAAATTTGTTTTATGGGGTCACAGCATTGCAACATTTGAAATCCCCTAGCTTAATATATTGTCAGTTTGTAAAGCACCCATTGTGATGAACCTTTATACAATTTTATGGTATGGGTAGGAGCTTATTTATTAAATTATTACAATTTTTGTATATTGCCACATTCCAAAATGACTCAGGGCAGCTTACTTACATACAAGAGCTTAAGACCACAAGACCCTTAAATTATACCATGAAACTATCAAAGACAAGGTACCAAAGACAGAAAGCTTGCAAAATTACAGATCAACAGGAGCAGCTAACCAACAGCTCCTGCCAGTAAACAACCTATCAGTCAGAACCTGAAGATCCTCTGGAACAGAACAGGTTGCTACTTTTATGAGTGCCACCAAGTTTGGAGCCACTGGGGCCTCTGGAATGTGACCATTCCAAAGGCCAGGGGTCATAATTGAAACACTTTGCTTCTGGGTCTCCCCTCCCTGCCCTTGGAGAGGGCGACTTGCAGCATTTCCACCTGCATTGGGTGAACAGGGTGGACATTCTCTTCGAAGGAGGTAGTCCTGGAGATATCTGGAACTAAGCTACATAAGGCTTTTAAAGTCAAAACCAGCATTTTGAATTGTACCCAGAAACTATTGGTGCCTAATGCAGTACCTGCAAATTGCTGTCCCATTTATAGAGACTTCCACCTAACAATCAGGCTGCTGCCTTCTATACCAGTTGCAATTTCTGACTGGTCTTCCAAGGTAGCCCCACGCAAAGCACAGTGCAATACTCCAGCCTCAGAATTATTAGTTCTGAATCACTGTAACCAAGATCACAAGTACCCACATTCCAGTATCTAAAAACCTGTTAGAACTGTGTGAACATACTGTCACTTTTTTTCCCCTCTCCCTCTTTTCAAGTTTTTTTTACAATCTAAAACTTAGTTTCAGAACCAATTGTTCAAGGACACAATTATCAATATCTAGTTTTACTGGTTTTTCATTCCTGGAACATGCATTTTTTCTGACCATTTAACTAAAGATACCAATATTGCTACATTCTGTTTTTACTATCGTATGGAAAGCAGCAATGCAGCTTTTTTTTTTTTTTTTAAGTAGAGGATACTGTCTCAATATTAATTCCGGTATTTGGAATATTTTAATAGGATTAAATTAATAATTTAGAGATAGATCAGTAAGAGATTTAGCCTGCAGGGTTATATCACTTGGAAGTATACCACTGAATTTAAGACATGCTCCTAAATATACTCCTGAAATTATTGTATAAGATTTGCACATTTATCTTAAAAGAACACATTTTTTCCTAATTTAGTTTTTCAGAACTGTGGGTTTTCCCTCCCTAATTATACAAGATTGGTTAAGACTTCAGGCATATATCCGACAAGGAAGAAATAAAAATGAGGAAATCCATAGCTTGCTTATGCTATCCTTCCTTTTACTCCAGCAGATATCTTCTACCACTTACAGGTGCTTCATGCAGAAATGTCTTCAGTTACTTTTCTAAAAGCTGAACATAGAAAGCTTGGAGCAAATCTGTCTGTTTTGCACAGAAATAAGGGATAGGATATATCTAAAGGATAGAGTACACATTAAGAGAATATTTAAATATGTACATGATCATGGCTAAATCAAGGGCCTGATACTCACTTGCAAATGTTCTGTACAAGACTCCACAAACTGCCTATGAAATTCAGAGCAATACAATGATTCTCTTGATTCTTACTAAGTTAATAGAACACTTTAGGTCAAACCCATAAGTGAACTCAGCCATTGTGGTTTGTAAACAATAGTTTACATTGTGTGAATCCTGCACAAAGTAGTTTCTTAAACAAGCTGTGGCACATTGTGATATGTAAAGGAAGGAGGGATGCTCTTACACATTTTTTAATTTTTTCACTATTTTGCAAATTTCTATTATACTCCTTATATTTACCTTCTCCAATCACTTCCCAAATCTTGGTTTCAAGGTTCCTAGCGTTCATATGAAAGAACTATACACAACATTCTGTTCCAGATGCCTTTGATGTGGCAGTTTGTCCCAGACCACTGACGTGTTAACTATCATACTGTACTGCATGACAGATAGCATTCAGTGTCCCCAGGTTTTTTTGGACTATAAATCTAACAATTCCTTGTAATTGGCCAAACTAGTTAAGACAGAGACAAACTGAAGTCCAAAACACCTGCACATCTGTCTATAAATGTTTTTTAAGTGTCCTTCAATTCAAGTACTTTCTAGGGCCTAATCTAGAGCAAGTAATCATACATCCCTCAGTTGTTTTGGATTACAAATTCCCAGAGTCACAACTAGCAAGGTTAATGACCAGAATTTAGGGGAATTTCAGCCAAGCATTTGGACTGTACCAGGTTTCCCATGACAGATTTGACCTCATCGATGACCTACAGCTGAGTTTCTACTGTGCTTCTGCTGTATCTACATATATTCCAGTTAGTATCTAAAATATTACATTTTTATTAAACCCATCTGAAATTGTACTGTAAGGCTTACATTTTTGTTTCTGAATTTGTAAATAGACTGAAGTTTCTCATGAGGAACTACAATATAACCTCATTTGTCAGAAATATTAAACCATTAAAATCTGTTAAGTTTATAATCAAACTATCATTTAATAATGGGTAACGATGAAGATACTCAGCTGCCTTACAGTGAGGATCTCTCTCACAATATACCAGCTTTGA